TGCTGACAACAGAATGACAAGTTGACAACCCATTAAACCGGCAACGAAATCAATAGGACCAAGATTTTTTGAACATGGACTGTTGATTCTGGATATATTCGCATCGGAAATCTATAAACCATTATAGATTTTGACGCATGAAAAGCAAATATATTTTCTATATAACATCTTAACATATTTTAATATTTATTATATAATATAATTTTTGTACATTAATCAAACACTTATATATATATATATATATATATATATATATTCTTAACATCGTCCCGTTCAACTTAGGTTTACCTTCATTATGCAATATACATCTGAAACTCTTCCTTGCATCAAGCATTTTTTTGCAACGGCTTCAAACTCAATTTAAAGCTACTATTCGACGCCGTTTGGCATTATTGAAACTATTTTTGAAAAAGTTTTTCAAATTTTTTTTCCTTATTTGAAAGAGGAAAAGCTTTTCCAAATACAAAATATATTATGAGTTAATTGAAAAAATTGTATTGGTTGACGCAAAAAGTCTTGCGTCCAAGGATGTTTATAATCTATTTTCTACGCCCTTTTTTTCAAACCAATTCCATAAACTTTGGGATCAACCCCACTTGGAAGCTATTGTCCTTCCCTCTTTGTAGGCTTGATCCCACAAATCAATAAAGTAATAAAGTGTCATTATTTTCTTTTTGATTTTCATATCTTTATTTATTATTCTTTTTTCAATAAAGCAACATTAATTATTTTTATTCAATTATATCATAGAGATCATATATATCACTATTGTAAAATTTATTAAGATATTACAATTTTTAGTTTCTGTTGACTTTTTTTTTCAACTTATCTATATCTTAAAAGTAGAAATCAAACTAAACAAAATTTTTGAAAAACTTTTAAAAAAAGTAACTATTTTTTGGTAAGCAAACTTTAAAAAAAAGCTTAAACAAAAGTTTCAAAGAGAAGCTTTCTTTTTTCTTTTTTTAAAAACAAATCAACTTAGTTTAATCTTAAAGAAAAAATATTACAATTTAGTTTAATTTCAAAAGTTATTATTTTTCATAAGAGCTTCATAATAACTCCAAATAGGGTCTTAATACCAATACAAAATAATTAAAATCAATTAAATTTTTTTATATAAATAGGAAATAGGTTTTTCACACATAAAAATCTTTATTTCTTTTAATTTAAATTTATGATTTATTCCTTTAACAAACTTGACAAAGTTTGATTTTCTTTTTATATAATTAAAATCAAAAAAGGAGGAAGCCGTCGTGATTTTCACATAACTTGACAAAGTTATTCTGACCATTTTTCTCTCACTCATAGTTTTTAAGGTAAAATACTCCCGTTACTCTAAGTTTTAGTCAAAATTTCAAGCAGGTCTATTGATTTTCGAAATGGACACTTCGTTTCAGAAATACAAACATCAATAACAAAGATTAAAAAAATACTAAAATGTCTTTTCTTTTTTATTAATTTTAAAAATTATTATTATATTTTTTTTAAAAAAAGCACCGATCGGTGATCCCCAAGTCTCCAAGAAAGGGAGCACTGGTGCTCTCTCAAAGAGCCCCAAATCAAGCATCCCCAAGATAACGAGCTTTTTTTTATTATCAAAAAATTAAAAAATTAAAAAAATTATCTACTTATAATTATAAAGTTAATCAAAGGTAAAATTATCTTTTTACTTTTGCACATCAATAAGTTGATGGAAACATTAATAGTTGACTAACAGTTAGATCTACATATCTGACAAAAAATATTTTTTTGGGGTAGAGTATCCATTTTAAAAATTAATAGACTTCCGTATAATTTCAATCAAAATTTTGAGAGATAAGGGTATTATCTTAATTTTTATTTACGTTAAAACACCAAAGTGATTCGAGGTAAGTGCAACATTTTATTTTATTTTTTATTTTGCTATGTTTTAATATGATCATGTTGTAGTTAACAGTTTTGAATTTTAGATCTTTTTTTTCTTAATTTTTATAAGAACAAAAAAAATCAAATTATGCTACTTTATTGTTGGGTCGTCTATTATTTTTCTAGTAATCTTTCTAAATAGGGGTAGAGGAGAGTGAGATCGCGATTTGTGTTGGAGAATGATGATTTACAAAAGAACGGAGAGTAAAGAGAGAGCAATTAAGAGAGTGAGCATTTCTTGAAAAGCTAGTGTGTTTTTAAAAAAAGAAAAAAAAAAGCTCATCTCTGAAGCTTTTCTTTAAGCTCTTTTTCATTTTTAAATACTTCTTTAAAAAAAAGCTATCTTTTTAAGGCTTTTTAAAATTCATAATTTGGTCTGACTTTTACTTTTAAGAGATGGATAAGCTGAAAAAAAGTCGGACCAAACAAGATTTTGAAAAACTCTTAAAAAACAGTTCTTTTAAAAAACAAAATCTAAAAAAAAAGTTTCAAAAAAAGTTTCAGAAAGAAACTTTCTCTTCTATTTTTTAAAAACATGCCAACTTTTTAAGAGAATTTTTTTTTGTTTCAAAAATATCCTTTTCTATTAAAAATAATCCTAACATTACACTCTCAAAAAATTCCCCTTCCTTAATCTTAACACGTTAGCTTTTATATGTCCAAAAATTTGTTTTAAAATAGATAAGAAAAATAAAGTTAAATTTTTGTCCATTATAAACACAAAAGAATTCATGATTAATAGAAAATTATTTATTAAATACACATTATGTTAATTTTAATCAAAATTTGAACTTATATAAGTTGTTTTGTCAAATAGTTTATCTATAAAAAGATATTATAAAAGTAATTTATCAAAAATAATTTTAACTTAATTTTAAAAGTTAATATTTTTCATAAAAGGTTCAAAATAACTTTTAAACTAAAAAAAAGTCAAGGCAAACAGATCCTAAATAGACAAAATGAGAATCCAATGGGGCCTAAATAAATTGATGAATGTGACTTGAATTAAAAAATTTTAAAAAATTAATATAATATTTAAAAATCTTTAAACTAGTTTTAAAAAATCAAATTAATTTTTAGTCTTTTATTGTATTTAATTAAGCTATTATATTGTTATTTTGAATCAATACGATCTTATAATTAATAGTAACTAATTGTTATTAGTTAAATTATCATTTATCATTTTATATTAAGCGACATTAATGGATTAATTATATGATGTCCCTTGTATTTATTTTTCATTCAATTTTATATGAATTTTTATATTAAAATAATAAAATTTGATGAATTCAAATATTTGATTTAATGGTTAGTGTAAAATATTTTGATTTAAAAATTAAAATTTGAAAATTTTTTATTTAAATAATAATAATATTATGATCACAGTAATGTTTTTGCAAAAAAAGGGGATATGATTACAATCAAGTAGGACTAGTTGAATGTGATTGTATATGGAGAGTCTTAGGATTGGAATGAAAACTAAGATTATTTTATGATAAAAATATTTGACTCTTAAGATAAGATTATTTCATGATAACTATATTTGAGTCCAAGTCAAATCTTAGTTGTTCTTCTAATTGTTGAGTGGGTTTCTGCAGCCCAACAGGATACAAATCCTCTACCCCACTATTGTGCCCCCATTCGTGCCTCCTCCTAATATTTGGCCATCTGTCCTATCTCTTTAATGAGCTGTTAACAACGATAGTGTCAAAATTTTAACGTCGGCTGTTAACGTTACTTTAAAAATAAAAAGAAAAAAAAATCCTATGCTAGGTTTTTTTCCTGTTGGCTGCCTACTTCGCTTTTACCTTATTTTGGCTGCTTACTGCTTTTTTAATTCACTTTCACCTTTTGACAGGATACTTGCAATTTTTGTAATTTTTTATTGATTCATTACATAGTGTTTCATTGAATTTTGTGCTTGCAAATAAAATCCTTCATATTTTTTTTTGAAAGGCATTCAGTGTTTTATGTCTTATTCATGATTATTCATGTTCCAATATGTATTTTCTTTTTCCATGAAAATATTGATATCGTTGTTTATTTTTTATTTTTTAGGTTATAGATAAAGAAACTTCAAATACAATTAATAAAGATCAATTGTGTCGAAGATTAAAATTTACTGAAGATATTCTCCCATCGATTAAACCAATAGTGGAGCAGAATCTAGAGCAAGATAAGTGTTCAAACATGATTGATTCTAATACTAATATTATGATTTCAACTCATGCAAATATGTGGGAAGAAATTATTCTAAAAGTTGGAATGAAATTTGAAATAGAACAAGATATTTATGATTTTTACAACAAATATGCCAAAGAAGTTGAATTTAGTATTCGAAGAACTAAATGACATAAGGATAAGTATGGTAATTGGGTGGATAGGGTTTTTGGTTGTTCTTGCCAAAGAACTCGAAGACATGATAAAAGAGATGATAATGTCAAAAGCCATCGTCGAGACACAAGATTTAGGTGCTTAGCTATATTAGAAGTTTTACGATATGATGATAAATTATGTGTTACTAAATTTATTGCAGAACATACACATGCATTAGCGTCTCCGTGTAAGCATATGTTTTTAAGATCTCAAAGGGTAATTAGTATTCCTCAAGTTGTTGAACTTGAAATGCTGATTGCTCCGGAATAGCACCAAAGGAGAGTGTTGGCTTTTTGGCAAGAAAAGGTGGACTCGAGAATCTTGGTTTTATTCCTGAGGACTACAATAACTACTTACGTTCAACAAAAGCAATAAAAGTTAGAGATACTGGTAATGTCTTAGAGTATCTACAAAATATACAACATGATGACCCTAATTTTTCTTATTCTATTCAAGTTGATTTTAATGATCTCATCACAAATATTTTCTGGACAGATGGTAGGATGAAATTAGATTATGAATCTTTTAGAGATGTGGTATGTTTTGAAACAACATATAGAAAAATTAAAGAGGGTAGACCTTTTGCATTATTTGTTGGTATTAATCATCATAAGCAAAGTGTTATATTTGTTGTAGCATTGTTATATGATGAAACATGTGATACTTTTATATGGTTGTTCGATTCATTTTTGAAAGCAAAGTTAGGGAAAAAACCAATGACGATCCTTACATATCAAGGCGCTGCAATGGCTAAAGCACTTGCTTCACAATGGCCTGAAACATATCATCCTTCGTATGTGTGGCATATATATCAAAATGCAGTGAAACATCTTAGTGATGCATTGGAGAAATTTAGTAGCTTTGCTAAAGATTTTAGTAGTTATGTTTATGATCATGATGAAGAGGAAGATTTTCCAAATGCATGGGATGGTGTGCTTGCAAAGTACAATTTGGAAGACAATAGTTGGCTACATAGAGAATTTGAATTGAAGGAGAAATGGGCTTTGGTTTATGGATGACAAACTTTTTTGTGTAGACATGTCCACTATTCAAAGAAGTGAAAGTATGAATAACCAAATAAAAAATTACATTAGTTATAACTATGATTTATTACGTTTTTTTCATCACTTTCAGATATTACTAGTTGATAGACGCTATGAGGAGTTGAAAGTAGATTGCAAAGACAATCAAAGTAAGCCATCTTTGCCAGTTCTAGTGGAGATATTGAAGCATGCAGTAGATGTGTATACTTTAACAGTTTTTAAAATGCTTTCTAATGAACTTTGGCTTACTTGGGATTGTGAATTGTATACAACTGAAATCATTGGGAGTACTACTAGTTACAAAGTCATTCCTCCAAGAAAACCTCATGATCAAACAGTTACATTTGATTCGTCAAATTTGACAGCTAGTTGTAGTTGTAAGAAATTTGAATTTGTTGGTATTTTATCTACTCATACTTTGAAGGTATTTTCTTTTCAGAATTTTAAACGAGTTTTAGATCAATATATATTAAAAAGATAGACTAAGGAAGTGAATATTGGAGTTGTGGTAAATTCTTCTGCATCCATTAGTACAAATGATCCTAAAGTAGATGTAAGAACTTGTTACAAAGTTTTGCTTCCATGGTATTCTAATTTAGCAACAAGAGTTGCCATGAATGAGCAATAATTTAATATGGCTATGAGTGATGGAGAGAAGACATTGAGCAAAGTTGAGACAGCTTTGAAGTAGTTATCAATTGAAGAGTCTCGAAGCTTCAGTGATGGAAAACAAGTTTGTCAATTTGACGAAAGTAGGTATAATGAGAAAGAAAGCCAAAAAATCAAAAGAATCAAATGTAAACCTAAAAGTAAAGGAGATGTAGATGTATCATCTCGTCGACTAAAAAATGCTTTGGAAAAAGCTAAAAGAAAAAAAAGTTGTCAAATTGATAAATTAGTAAAGACTCCATTGGTTCAAGAGGTAAGGGTAATAATTTCTTAATATTGTTTTATATTATGTTTTGATTTAATTTTATGGTTATTATTTCCTTCTAGTCTATATATTCATGTATTTATTCAAATAATTTCATAGGATTGAAGTCAAATTGCCTATACTTTGTACCATAGTGCTGCAAGTGGATTCAATCAATATACTCAACCATTTCAATTCGTCCAGGTAATTAAAAATATTATAATAGTAAAATTAAATTTTATATTTTATGTATCACTTACATATTTGAATATTTGATAGTAAACTCATGTTAACATCTATTAGTTTACTATCACAAGCATGGTGAATTTACTATAATTAATCCCTTTTATATTTAATAAATAAATTTATTTTTTTATTTTTGATTATAATACTTAATTAATTTTTTATTTGTATATATATAAGTTCAAATACCACAAGTTCATATTTCACAAAGAGAAACTTCGGAAGGAGATGAGAAATATTAGATGAAAGATATGACTTTACCAACATGTTTTTAATATTATTGTAATTTACTTACCAAGGATAAAAGTGATTTATTTTGCTTTTGAGATAAAACTTTAGTTTTCATATTTGTTAAATTACATATAGTTGAATTTTATTTATTTTTGAATTATGCCAAACATTATTTTATTTGATATCAAGAATAAATTTGGAGCCTTCTACTTCTATTGGGTTGGAAAGTTGGGATGCAGAACTCGTTGTTCTTCCTAGTGCCTTCATCTAGATCCAGATGATAATATATGATAAAAAAAAGAGTGTTTGCCTCTTCTTTTTTTTCTTATTTACTAATTGAGTTCAGTCCTCTATCAATAATTTTAAGGGTTTATATGAAATGGGGCGTTTTCTGGGATGGTTGGCTTTTAGTTGCAAAACTTGATGATCTACCGTTTTTAACCCTAAACTTAAAGAATTAATAAAAAAACTTACAAAGGTTGCAACTATCCTACCAAAAGGTTGAAAGCGAAGCAAAGGAGGAGTAAGCAGACAAATCAAGGTAAAAGCGAAGCAGGCGACCAACAGGCAAAAAACCTGTTGGGGCAGATAGGACAGATGGCAAAAATATAGACAGGAGGCACGAATGGGGGCACGATAGTGGGGCAGAAGATTTGTGTCCCGCCGAACGGCCCAAGTACGTAGGACTTTGACGACCTGGATCTGGAAGATAACGTAGTCCATATTCTATTTTTCATGACCAAACAAATTAAATATTAGCTACTTGGTTCATACAAATTATATATTTGGTGGAGAGATTATAGAAATAAAAATTAACTTACAATGTAATATAATGTAAAGTAATAACAAAATTATATGATGGCAAAATAATGCATTTATATTGAATTGATGAGAAAAACAAAAAATACTACCATTATAAATGAGTTTAGATTAATTGACAAGAAAGTAAGAAAGCATTAGATTGACAAATTTTCACATCTTTAACTAAATTTAATTTATATAACATTTTTCAAGATGAAATTATGTAAATTATTTTATTATCTAATTTGAGTCTATCAAAACTATGCATTTTTAAAATTCTGAATACATTGCAATATTCCCAAGTGGAATATTCCTTGTGTTGGTTTTTTTTTCTACATAACTACATCAAAGATGTACTTTTTTTTATGAGATTCTTTAAATTTTTGTTTTTCACTTTTAGCTATTTGTGTTTTGTTTTCTATTTATTTTTTTATAAAAAGATAATATAAAATATAAATGAAACAAAGTTTAAATGATAATTCATTTTGGTAAATATTGTCATCTAGTTTTTGCTTGTGCGCGTTCTCTCTGCTATGAAAATGAAGCTAGTTATTTGACAAAACAAGAAAAGAAGGCAATATATATATATATGTCAACATTAATTATTGAAATATGAATGAAAATATAACTGTGGCAATTAATTCAACTCTATTTTTGAGGTCTTCTAAGTTTCAATAAATCTGATGAATTTCAAAATTGTATTTGAAAAAAGAAAAACATTGCAATAAGTATGAATTCGGAATTTGACACTTACATATACAAAAACCAAATTTAATAAATTTACGTTATGAAATTGGGACATTACAAAGATCTTGGCATTAATTTGTTGCATGCATATATACTTTCAGTTTGTCACAGTTTTTGCTGTTATACTGCTTTTAAGAAGCTCTAGCTATGTGGGAGGAACTTGGAAGTTGGCAAGTACGCCCGAGAGGACTTCGAAATTTTCGTGGACTGGACCAACGCGGAATAGTTGTTTCGTTTCTTCTGTAATTTCGCATTGATGTAATTGACGACCCAGGGAAACAAAGACAGAAATTTCATAGAAGCAGCTGTAGATGAAAATGATGTTGGGCCTATGCAACAACATTTGCTCTGGGCAAAAGTCTTCGGACACCAGACGAGTTTTAATTACTAAGCCTAGTTTCAGTCCAAAATTGCTGCTTCTAAACTCCGAAAATTCATCTAGTTGGTCCTTGCCTTGGGTCGGTTTTTATCCGGAGCTTGTTGCCTGGAGGCTGGTAGTAAAACTAATATTTTTGATCTTCTTCATTTTGGCTACTCCGAATTTCGTGATGTTTATCAGTCCCGATTAGCTGATCCATTATGAAGCAAAATGAAAACCCCAAAATTGTAAAGTTGCATAATGGAGTTTGTGTAACAAATTTTTGCTTTTAGCTCTGTAACTATGTATCAGCCCAGTCCAAATACTGCTTAAAGGAAAAGGCAACACAGATGGCTTCATCCCTCGATGACCTCGGCAACAGTTGCAGAGAAATGAATTTCGTCATTGAAAAAAAGGAAGAGAGAGTTAGATATCTTAAAACAATGACGATGACGATAAAGCTAGTCATCTCATACGTTTTCTTCCAATCTTGTCTCTCTCTCAAAACTCGGCAATCTCATGCGGAAATTGGTGGATTCCATTCTGCCTTTCCTCATTAATCGCCACCGTTTTTTAGCCTTCCTTCGCTAGCACCATCATCCACTGGGCACAAACTCAGAATCATCGTGAACTGAACTTAATTGAGCAGGAAATAATACACTATCAAATGCTCATGGCGGAGAATAGTCCAATGAAGATGCAACTGATCATCAAGCTTGTTTGCTGCCAAAACTAGACACGGTGAAAGTTTATCAACGGTATACTTATATCTATATGGTGGCTTCGGCGTTACTTGCCTTCACTATTCTGGTTCTGCATGCTTGCCACTCCGTTCTCCATAATGACCGGTGATGCCTTGAAGGAGCAACAGAGTTATAGATAGAGTTATAATAATTTGGAGCATATGTTAGGATTACAGAGTAAATAAGCCAGTGAGCCAGTCACTGACTCCTCTTACGTTCTCTTGCTGGCTGCTCCACATTTCCAGGTTTATGGGTGTGCTTCTCTCTTGTTTGCCTTTGTGTCTTGTATTATTACATCAAAAGTTCCTCCTGTGAAAATGTATGAAATGTTATTCAACTCCTGTTATTTTTGCTTGATTTTGCATTTAACTATGTATTGATCAGTCCTAACCTCTAATTTAGGGTGTAATATTGGACCCTTAATTCGATGAAAAGTTGGAAACCGTATATTTCCATTATTATTTGCTTTTGCGCAATCAACCATTTTATTTATAGGCTGGTCTCAAAGCACCAGAAAAAGCACTTAAATCACTATATCCAATGAGGTTCAGTGAATAAGTATTACAACAGAAATCCGCCAAGCGAGGAATTACATCCATTCACCTAATAACACAACTCAGAAGATACATAAAAAACAACACTTCATGATAAGAAAAACATGGCGGCAGAATAAAAAGAAGTTCACGTGAACCCAGGCACATGGTAAGTGAAGCATTGCTCCAACGGTTCCTGAAAGAAAAGAAACTTCCAGCACTTTGATCTGCTCCTAATATTCGCCACCATGCAAGGAAGAAACCACCATGTTGATGTTCGGAATATTTGTAGGATTTGGTGTCTGGAGTTCAACATCGGAAGATTGAACCTAATTATAAAGAGCAAAACAGATCGAAAAGCATAGTCCTTTTTGCACGAAAATACAAAGCTTGGACTTGACCTGCATTTACATATATACAAGGGTTGAGAAAGACGAAAATAGCATAGCATTTGTTATACAATTATGGCCGTCCCTTGATCTTGAAGGGCTAGCATATCATAGTTTCGTTCCAGTAGGCTGTGGAGAGTGTAAGTTTTGTAGTGGCTTCTTTCTATTTTACGTACTATGAAAAGAAAAAAACGAGAGAAAGTTATTTACAAATTCATATAATAAAATGTCAGTCAAGTTGCAATAAGGTTCCAGTGATGATGTCTGCTTCAGTTCTCCCTGCATAATCTCTCCCTGACTCCCACCCAAGCAGAAAGCCTAAACCCCTGCAAATCAGCATGGCCTGATTAAGGATTTGACCAGATAAAGTTGTATATTCAAGGAATTAAAAAGTAGGGACCATATAACCAATTCGCTAATCGTGAGGGAACCTGAGCCTGCGAAAGATGTCTTTGGATTAGAACTATATCAGTTTTAACAAATATTCTGAGCAAAGATGGCCTTGAACTCTCTACAGCTCTATTATGACTACTTGTCTTATTAATTATAGAGGTAAGCATTCCCTTTAGTCTAAAAAGCTTATCATAACAGAACAAATTATATTTTTAAAAATAAAAAAGAATCGAAATCTACTTAAATGATCAATTAGATCGATTCTAATTATTAATAACATTAATAATATTCACATTACAACATAATTTTTTTTTAATACTCAATAATGTTTCATTAATAAAGCCTAAATGCTTTTAGTTTAATTATGTTCTATATATTAAAAAAATTATATAGATATAATATTGAAAATATTGAGCAAAAAAACTTAGATTATATCAATATGCCAAACGATTGCAGCTATATCATTGACGTGGTTTACCAGCACTAAATTACTAATAATAACCTTTAACTTGAAATTTTATGCAACTCATATAGTCTAAGTATATATATATATATATAGATATATATATATATATATATATATGCATGGTTGTCTAATCCTTTTGTAGCATAAAATAATTTATTTTTTGTGGAAAAATTTGTAAAAGTCATATCTCAATCTCGTAGTTTGACTCGTTGAAGGAAATGTTCAATTACTTGCTTAGCCTGGTGTTTTAAGAGGCTCTATTAATGACCTGAAGACCCAAAAACCCAATAAAAATGATAAAATGTTGGCCTTTTGATAAGCCCAAAACAAAACCCAAAAATCTAAATATCCAGTTATGGACCCAGGATGTTTGGCCCACCACGTCTCCATAGTTATTCATTCAATTTGTACTGCATGTGTACTAACCAAAACTCAAATAACACCAATGTAGTACTACAACATCAACTCATTCCCCAATCCCAAATGAGAGTGAGTGATAAAATTTGAAAGTAATCATTTTATACCATTCGTTAGCTTTGGACGATATACAATTCATAGGTATTGATTTGGTCTACAATTAATACTGTAGAATTACATGGAGAAGCAATTGGTTCTTGTTTTTGCTGTCACTCTCACTCTGACTGCCGGGGCATTCTTGGAGAAACCAATAGCCTCCCATCTTCTATGAGCTGATGGCCGTGGGAGATTCTCCGGCACGATCGTCTCCAGCGAATTTGCATTCCATGGAGGGCACACTCTTTTATCACTCCATCTTGCTACTTTCGAGTTTGACTCTGTGGCAGATGAGATTTCCTCCGCAATGGCGCTGTTGTCAGTTATATTACCAACTTGTAATCCAATTATGATGCAGGTTACCCCTAGTACACATTGCTTCCTCCATTTATCATCCCTTGGCCTAAGAAAATGGATGGACATAAAAGAATGTCAAAATCTTGTACGGCACAATATTAAGCAGGTAACTTAGCAGATACTTCAAGTGATGAGGAAGATGACTTACCATGCAACTTGTGATGCCTTGTTTCTAGAAGAAGACATGTCTAAGCCAGGAGTTGGAGTTGGAGGGGACACGTTGAGGCAGCACGAAATGGCCATTCCTCCGTCTCTCTAATATTCCTTGCTCTCCCTCGCAAGATTTGAGTTTTGACAATTATGGCCAAAAAGAGAGGGAGATTAACGCATATATATAGACACAGAGAGAGAGACGGAGAGGAGCTGTAACTTGTCACCAATGGCCAGCTGCTGGCTGTGGGGTTTTGAGGTTTTGGAGACGTTGGTCAGATCACGGTAGCTGACTAGGACCCAAAGCTGTCCTTTTGCAATTAAACCACGTGGGTTGGACCCATTCAATCAAGCCACCTTTTCGCTTGCCGGCTCTCACCATCGTTTCCTAAGGCTTAGAGACGCGTGTCGGGAACAGTTTCCTCTAGAGTGAAGACAGATTAGTCATTGACTCCTTGGCTCGTTCCTCAATATTTCACCTTGACAGGTCTGACTATTATTTTCTTCAATATTACGGTATATAAATACTAATTGAGAAAACACTATTTATCTATCAATATATATATATATAAGATTTAGATGTGATGTTGAATAATTTCTATGATACTGTCAATTCATCATAAAGTCTTAATTTATGATACAAGTAAATTTAAATTTTTTAAAAAACTTTAAAATAAATATTAATAATTTTCTTAAAATTTAATTACCTAAAAAAAATAAATTCGAGTTTTTTTCATTCACAATCCCCTTTTACCCAACTTCTTCTTCTAGACTCAACCTCTGACTCCAAATCTCAAAACTCCTCTCTTCTATGATTGAGATAGATTCCCAAATGTTTTTTTTTTTTTCAGATATAGTTTCTCTAATATCATGTATATTGATGATTGAGACAGATTGCACATGTTTTCAATGTACACATACAATACATTCCGTATTTGTTTACAACTACTCAGAATCTAAGCATGTAATTTTCTTCAACAATTTAGGACTGTGGTTCTTTATACAATTCTCAGTCTGTATGACATTCAACAATCATGAAAATATAAATTATCTTCAAATTGTAGAGTCCTTGAAAAGATGTGGTATTTATGAAAATTCAAGTTTTATCCTTCTTGATCAATTTAATGCTTCTCTGGATGAGGTACGAGGTGACAGTACCTCATCTGCACTCCCTGTTATGATTGGAGAAGCTTATATGAATGGAAGATGAAGAAAGGGTTTTGAGATTTAGAGTGAGAGATGTTGGTGCAAATGGGATTTTCTTAGAATTTAAATCAATTGATAAAATTGATTTCAAGATAATTTTTTGATAGATATTATTTTAGTACTCATTTTATTGTCACTATGTGAATAGTTTTATAAATATAATGAAATCAATGTTTAACTTCATTTTTAATTTTATGAGATAAATACTTGAGGATTATAAAATTATTTACTTTTTGTAATAAATAAATTATAAAGAATTTGAATTTCTTTAAAAGATGATGAGAATTCAAATTGTTTATATTTATTTTTTTTTGAATTATTTAGTACATAATAATTTGTTCTCAATTTTCTAATCTCATCTTGTTTGTTTTTGATATATCAAAATGATTGCGAGTGCTTAAAAAAAAAAATAGTTGGCGAGTGTCTTCTTTTTTATGAAGATAATCCTTTATCAATGCATTCCTACGTTTTAAAGACACATTTGCATATTACAAGACACAAACTTAGATAAAAGATATTGTTTTAATAATTACCATTCATTTTATGAGACTTAAGTTACAATATAAAAAAGATAATTTTTTATATCTAAATTTTAAGTAGTGATATTTTTTAATTATCTTATAACTTTTAGATTTAAATATGTTTTTTTAATATATTACTTTATCAAAAAATATAATTATTGACATAAAAAATCATTTATATTTCAATAGTTACAATATGTAATACTGTGTGACATAATCTTTTTATTGATATAACTTTCAAATAGTAAAAAATTTTCATATGGAAAAAATGTAATGTTTTATATGAAGAGACAATCTTTTATTTTGAAAATACATCAATAAGAAATTGAATCTCCTAACAAGAAAAGAGAAGAAGAAAAAAATAGATTAGGTGATAAATTTTTGTTTGTAAGATGATGATATGATTAATGATTATGTTCAAGCACATATTTCGTGTAAAAATTACGAATATAAATTTAAATGACTCCATATCATCACCAATAATAATAAACTCTTTTAAGAGCTTGATTGAAACATCATCAAATTATAAAATATTCTCGAGTCATATTCTATTGATCGAAAACTCTTTATATTTCCTTTATTTTTAACTAGATGCAATGCAACCAAATTAGTTGGGTGCGTTTTACGCCATGGAAGAAGATTGGTTTTTACAGGGCGTAATCTAAATTCAATTAAAAGAAAAATCAAGTTAATTGGCCAAAGATTTTCTTAAACAGTCTCAAACCTACTTTCTTTTATCTTTGCTTCACTTTCCTTACCTAACAAAGTAAGCTTTCAAGGTTTCGTTGTCGCTATTTTCAATGTTATCAAAAATTGAAATAAAAAAAAAAGGACAACAAAATGTGGAAACTAAAAGATTAACCAACTACCAACGCAATAATAGTTTGGAATTATCAAATTATTTCCCACGTGATTTTTGTGGTCAGAAGTTATTTCAACGTATCATCAAATGGTCGTTGAGTAGTTACCAACTATTTAGAAACGTTGATGATAGCTCACTATTCCTTGATTTCTTGCGAACCAAACATGAATAGCGTGGAACATATTTGTTTAATTTAATCTTTGGTGTATTTGCCCCACCCAATCTGTTGCCATTCAAGTATAGCGATGTTGACACGTTGGCTAATTATTATTATTTATTTCTAAATTTATTTTTATAATGAAGGAAAAAAACGTAATGGAAATGCTTGCCATTTTTATCTTTATTATTTTATTTAATAAATTGTTAAAATTTCAAATATAAATCACTTAAGGTTCGCTCAAAAAATCTTCTTTTAATAAAAAAAATAATATTTATATTTACAATTTCCAGAACATATGTAAGTTGCATGTGATAACACATGCTAGGTTAGATGTATCATATGTGGTCAACAATTAAAACAAATTTAATGTCTAAGACAATAGATTATATTAATTACACACAAGTTCTATTAACCATGCTGACAAATAGTCTTTAAATATTAGTATATGATCATGGAATCCGGTAACAAATGGTACATTAGAAGTTACAATTTTATTTTGAAGATAAATACTAATTAAATAAATTAATTTTGTTTTATGCACGAGTTTTATATGCACTAGCTGAATAAATTAATATTGATCTTTTTGGGTACCGTGGAGGAGTGCGTTATTAAAAACGTTTGAAAAATAAATTACTTTAAGTGAAATTTTTTTAAAAATAAACATATATAAATGTACTCACCAAATTTAAAAAGAATAATAAAATAATATTTTTATAATAAATTTTCATTTTTTATAACTAATATCTTAATTAATATTAGGAGGCACTGATTGAAAAGTTACGAACAATAAATTCTTTGCCATTAATAATTCAAAAAGAATAATTATAGTTTTGGAAAATTCGATGTCAGCTGCCATTGAAGTAGTGTGAAAGAGGGTACCATCGTAATAATAATAATCATTATGAAATATCTATACAGTTTTATGGTGAGTATTAAATGGCGGTATAACCAAAAAAAAGAAATCTAAAGTTTGATATTTGCAAATCTCAAACCGACATCGTTTAGGAGGTCCCACAGCTTGGCCTTTAAAACCGACCAGTCAGAACTCAGCCTTCAGCTGTAAAAAATGCCCCGTACTCACTTCCTCGTGTGAATCGCCCAAAGTCTCTCTCTTTTCTTTTATTTTTTCTGCACAAAAAAAAAAAAAAGACAGATCACAGTGAAATCGCTATAACTTCGTTTTTTCTTCATTTATCGCTAAAACCTTAAATTTCTTTTTGGTCCCTTTCTAAACCCTAATCTTGAAAACCCTAAATCTTGAGAGAATCGGTTATTGAATGTATTAGTTTTCTCTAATTGGGAGGCGAACTTAAAACTCATTGACAGGACTCACCTAGTGTTATTGCATTTGCTATCGTTGTTTTAGAATTTTGAGCTGAGCTGACTAGCGAGTTGACTCGATAGAGAAAGTTAATTTTTTTTTTCCCGAGTTATTTGGGGTTGAATTTGGAGTATGTGATGATGGAGGAGAATAACGGAATTGATTGTTTAGAAAATGCGAGCACGAGCGAGGGAAAGCCACCGAATCCTCGTACGCCCTCGTATATGCAGCAGTGCCCCACCAGTGATGGCGTTTTGAAGCCCTGTAAGAAGTCCCTAGTTCGACACCCGTCTCTTGTGAGTTGCCTTTTCATGATTTTCTTATTCAGTTCTTTTATTTGTTGTTGTTGTTTTTCTCAAATCAGTCGGTGATTTTGATTTTTTTTATTTTCATCGTTTTTAGGTGGAATGCTGATTTTTGACGTGTATTAACTGATGGAAATTATGGAATTTAAATATTTAAGAAAACAAACTGTTAAATAAAAAAAGTGAAATTTAGAAGTTGCTCTTCTTAAGGTTAATCTAGATACAAAGAAGCTCTGTAATTTGCGAGGTGTGTGTGTGTTTTTTTTTGGAGTAATGGGTATAAGGAGATTGATTGGCAATGAATCTGATCACCTTATGTGGTACATGTGGAGTGTTATAAAAAGAGACTTGAAAAAAATTAGCTACCATATTTGGTTTTGGTAGATTGGTGGCGGTGGTTGCTGGATTCATGTAAAGTTTCTTATGGTATTGAACAGTGTGATTACTTATTGACCTATCCAACCATAGCTCGCTAATGAGAAAATGAAAATGAAAATGTAATTAAAGGGGATTCATGAGGAGATAAAGATGTAGATGGAGTTAGGTGGTGCTCTTGTTTATATGCTAGTTAAAGTTCTGCAATCTGAAACGTGGTTAATGTTAGTGATGATTGACTTAGGGAGACAAATTGCTAGCAATTCTACTTCTGAAGAAGTTAGCTTGCATTCTAGGTAGATAGTAGACCTGACAATTCGTGTTTTCGTGTCTTAAACATGTCAGACCTGATTAGACACGAAATATGTTAAGGTTAAACATGACATGACACAAATAATATTCGTGTCCTAAATCTAAAACACATACATGTTTATGTTTAATAACCGTGTAACACGACATGACACGATTAACACGTTTGTTACACATGTCAACATATGACACGACATGATTAATAACATGATTAACACATTTAACACATTTAACACAATTAAATAAAAATATTTACAATTAAATATAATTTTATTATTTAACCTTAAAATCAATAATTATAACAAAAAAAAATAATAATAACATCAAATATAAAAAAATAAAAGTTCAAAATTATGGTTTGGGTATGTCATAATTACATTATTAGCTTTATAAAATTTAAAAAACTTATTAAAATAATTGTTTAAAATTATTTAAGTAAGGCTTAAATAGTATTTGACTATTAATTTTTAACAAGTTGATAAATGTATCACGTATATATGTTTAGACATGATAACACAATTAAACACGTTTATACGTATAAACACGATAACACGATTAATTAAACGAGTTTTTAATGTGTTACTCGTGTTTGACACATTAAGATACGAAAATTTTCGTGTCTTAAACGTGTCAGACACGATTAGACACAAAACACGTTAAGGTTAAATCCAAATTGGTTTAACGCTGTGTCTTTCCGAGTCGTATCCAAAACTGTCAGGTCTAGTAGATAGTTTGGCTGTATTTGCAAAGAATTGTTGTTTGGTTTGCTTGGAGTCTTGAATGGTGTGATCATATATATTCTCCAAAGTTTGCCTCTCGAATGAAAATAAAAGAAAATCAAAGGAAGGGAGATTCATGGGGAGCTAGAAAGATAGATGGCTTAAACTGAGGAAAGGTTTTAGCTTAATTTTGTTATAGAATGCATATAGCTGAGGCCGATGATCAGGATAAATTGAGTGGAGAAAAGCTTTGCCTAAAATCATCTCATAATTGGCTACTGGCTGATTTCTCTGACCTAATTGTCATCCTAATTTTCTACAACTTATTTGTACGATTAATTACCAAAATTGTGCATGTTGGATATGTTTTTCTTTCTTCACTTAGGTAATGACTTTCAGTGTTCCACTCGTTTTTCTACACTGTTATTAATAGTCTCCAGCACTATTTATCATTGACTTATTTTTGAGCTAATTTAAGAGATATTGTGTCATATGTTGACAGACCAATAATCCTATTGTATATTTAGTCATCAATATTGTGATAAATTTTGTTATCTTATGTTGTTTTCTCCAACTTTTTTCTGAGTTTTGATATATAGCATGATCTCCTCCTCTCTTCCCTCTCCCCCCTCCTTTTTCTCCTGGACTGCTTTTATATGCTGGGGAGTTTTGTGCTATTCTTTTAGCTGGATGCAGTCGTTTATGCAGTTATTTCTTCTCATTTTATGAAATTTATCTGTGATAGACCATGCTTAGTCAATGTGCTTTCTTACTTAAGAGTAGTATTTTGAAGGAATTATATTTGTTGCAAGTCATTGTTAGAGTTTGAGAAGTTTGTTTCCTACAGATGAAATGTTTGCACATGGTGACTCTCATGGAGATGCACAATGTTTTCCCCTTTTTGTTTCTGATTCTAATTTTAGCAGGTGAAGTCAAAGGCATCAGATATCGCTGTTGAAAATGGACATGCTATAGAGAATCGTGGTGCGGAGCTCATCCCTATAGTCCGTTCCGGAGCATGGGCTGACATAGGGTTTCGAACAAGCATGGAAGATGTATATTTGTGTGTTGATGATTTTATGCATGATTATGGGCTCAAGAATTTTGCTGATGGGCCTAGTGCCTTCTATGGGGTATATACCTTCCCTTATTGTTTTGTCCGTCTAGTATGCTTGTTTTATTTCTAACTATAATTATAGCTCCGGTGTATTTTAGATCTGATAAATCTGTTGCATTCCTCTCCAGTACAGTTTTCCTAGTCAAGAGTTTTGAACTGTGAGGTTCTTTTAGTCAGGTTTAGTCAAGTATGAGAAATGAAGTCTTTTCAGGCTGGCTGTTTAGTTCATTTACTAAGCATTAAAAGCAATTTTTCTGTTAGTTTCTTAGAAGGTTTTGCAAATTCCTTTACATGATCTTTACCCTGCAAAAGCAAGAAAATTATCCAAGATATGCTTTTGAGGGGCCCTTGCATAGCATCAAGCTTTATTAACAGTAGGGACATGTCAAGTTGGAACAGTTGATAGATTCCTTTGCATCTATTTGTGTATTGATGGCAGTTTGACATTAGCATTTCCAACTTTTTTGGTGGTCAGGTGTTTGATGGACATGGTGGGAAGCATGCTGCTGACTTTGCTTGCTATCATTTACCAAGGTTCATTGTTGAGGATGCAGACTTTCCTGGAGAGATTGACAGGGTTTTTGCTTCAGCATTTCTGCAAACTGATACTGCTTTTGCAGAAGCTTGTGCATCGGATTCTGCCCTTGCTTCTGGTACCACTGCATTGGCAGCTCTTATTCTTGGGAGGTTAGCATTGTCAACTAACAGAAAGTATTTGTGTGAAATATTCTCCAATTTAACTTAGTGTGTAAGATAGCATTCCTCCGTCCTGCATTTACAGCTTTAAGAAACAATAACCCACGGGAGGCATCGCAAATCGGTTACACGGTTTGCCAATGTGTGTTAATTGATAAAACCATCCATATTGATGGCCTGTTTCTTTGCTGGAATTTCTTTTCTTGAACAGACTGTTGTCACTGCAAGAACTCTATTTTTGTCAAATAATTCCTCCCACTCTCTTTGATTTTATTAACCTGTTTCACTCTTCCTTTTTCCGGTGGTAAGTATGATGTCTCCATGATCATGCAGTAAAAATTCATTGTCAAACAAAGTCAACAAACATAATTCAGTTGAAGATTGCACGTTCTATTCCACATTACTATTTGCATTTGACTTTTGATTTTATGTATTTGCTTCCTATTCTTGTGACAATAACTAAAAAGTAATAATATTGGGGTCTTGAGTTTGTGATAATATGTAATGAGCATTTAAACTTGTGGCAAAGCATATTGGATGTGTAAAAAGTTGTTTAAATTAATAATCATACGAAACAGCTGCAGTTTAAACTCTGTTGTAAGGCATTACTTGTTAATCTAAGTAGATTAATGATAAAATAAAAAAGAGATATGAATGGATGAAATTGGCTAATTCTGTTTTTGTCGTTTTGGATCCCCCTGTCCCGTCCCCCTTTTGGTGTAAGGATGTCCTATGTGATATTTTAATTTAATATCCATGGTAACTAATTAGATTTTGTGCTCTAAAAGATGATAGGATCTCATCACTTGTTTGTTGACTTTGTTTCTGATGTCAGAATGTTGGTTGTGGCAAATGCTGGAGATTGTCGAGCGGTTTTGTGCCGTCGTGGCAAAGCCATTGAAATGTCAAGAGATCACAAACCCATTTGCAATAGAGAGAGAAAACGCATTGAGGCATCTGGAGGTTATGTATGTGATGGTTACCTCAATGGGCAACTTAATGTGGCTCGTGCTTTAGGAGATTGGCACATGGAAGGAATGAAAGGTGCAGATGGTGGGCCACTGAGTGCAGAGCCTGAGCTTATGACTGCAAATCTAACTGAGGAGGATGAATTTCTTATCATAGGATGTGATGGTCTTTGGGATGTGTTCCGGAGCCAAAATGCTGTTGATTTTGCGAGGCGGAGGCTTCAGGAGCACAATAATCCAGTCATGTGTAGTAAGGATCTGGTAGATGAAGCTTTGAAGAGGAAAAGTGGGGATAATTTAGCTGTTGTTGTTGTTTGCTTTCAATCCCATCCACCCCCTAACTTGGTTGCCCCTCGTGCAAGAGTGCAGAGGAGCTTTTCTGCTGAGGGGTTGAGAGAGTTGCAAAGCTTCTTGGATAGTTTGGGAAACTGAGATGGTGACGAATGCTTACTTTTTTCTTTATATTTGCCCCCTTCCAACTGAGTAGTTCATTTGTAGTTTTAGGTATTGAGAGAGAATGAGTTTCAATTGTAACATACGCGGCTGCAAGTCGATACACATAATTTGTTGTTTCAGGAGTAGGGGTTTAAATTTATCTTATTTTGGCCATTGTTAGGCACTTATTTAAGCAGAACTATATCACCTGTTAAGATTGATTAATGTTTTTATGTCTTTAGGTGCACTTTCCTGATGGAAAACGGAGTTGCATTGGTCCGTATAGCCCATGAGTCGTTAAATTTGTTGATCTGTCCCCTGCATGTCGCTTTGTGCCCGTCTAGCATGAAAGATGGAGAGCTTTCTAAATGAGGGTAAATCCTTCTCAGGGGCTCCCGCCTCAAGTGGACGCGTTAGCCTGTCTTTCCAAAATAGAAGGCATCACTGGACGCGTAACTTTGAGTTGCCCCATAAAATTGGATCAGTTCTTTGACGGATTGGGTTTTCCTTGTGTAAAACCAACCTCAGTGTCTAATCTGGGATATGGCTTGTCCATTACATTTTCAGGCCCTCGTATTCATCTGTTTAGCCTACGGAGGATCGCATTCTTATGATCAGTCTGACCTTTCTTCGTTCACATCATATAGACCAAACCACTGGTTTTCCAGGAGCAGATGTAATCTGAAACGTAACATTCGAAGCATCTTTCCCCGACACTATATTTCCTCTATTTTTCCTCCTTCCTATTGTCCTCTTTCCTGCCAAACATAGTGTGCGTGATGGAAAAATGTCGTAGTTTTCGTGTCCCTTGTGTTACCATAACATCACATAAATCCCTCTTATTTCAAGCTGACATGTATAATTATGTGCCAATTACGTTCAGGACTTGACAATACAATTGCAAGTCCTGACAAGATTGAGAAGGCTTTTAGTGATTGAACATAACGTAGACTGGGAGTTTTACAAAGAGAAAGGGGACAGTGGGAAGAAGGAGCGGAAAACAAACAAGACTGCGAAATAGTATACATTTGACACAAGTTCATTGGACTCTGTTTGTAGAAGCAGATGGGGTTTTGTCCTGTGCCTGAGAGAGACGTAACTTGCGTATCTTCCAGGACAGCAGATTTGTTTGGCATCCTCATCTCCTTTGGTAGCTAAACGCCTTAATCGAGAAGGCGAATGTGAACGCAAAGAGCACAGGTATTCCAACAATTACAACTGCAACGACTCCCAGAAAGTCACTTCTAAAGCCGAAATAGGTCCTTACGAAATGTCCCACTGTCTCACCTGACTCAAATTTATCCTTTACGCCTCCAAATTGTGAAGCAGCCAACCCATACAGGGTCCATGAAACAGGGCAGATCCAATAGAACCATCTCCACCACACAGGAATCCTCTGTCGTTGAAACAATGAACGTTCGTTGAATTAGGCTATGTAAGGTCGCATTTAGTGTTCTAAGGTAATATATGCTTTGGGTCAGTGTAGCTTACCGTTCGAGGAATGATGAATCCTGAAAAAAGGTTCCATATTCGATAGAAGAAGGTTGAAATTATGGCAGCATTATGTTGGTTGGCAGTAACCGCTACAGTCATCATCCCATAGAAAGTATAGTATAAGAGGGTGAAGTACATAAAGAAAAGATACCAAAAGAACTTGCTAGCTGTCCATTCAAATCCAATCATTGCATACACTATAACTCCATATATAAGAGTTTGAATCAAAGTGTATGGCAGCTCAATGACAACCTGCAAAACAGAGACTTTTGTGAGGAAACTTAATGCTCCTACGCCTGACTCTTTACAGGAAAGAAACTATTCTTGCACCTTTCAGTAAGATTAGATTGTTCACAATGGTCATAATTTAACTCACTAGTTCCCCTTAACACCCTTTAAGTTAAGCATTGTTTCTTCATTTATAACCAACCTTCTGGCTTCTTTTCTTTCCAGACTCAACTAATTCCCTATTAACTTGTTACAATTTTCTTTCCAGACTCAACTAATTCCCTATTAACTTGTTACAACTGCCAGAGATGACGATACCATTAGGTAAATGTCCAAAAGCAAAGGACTAGCAGTGTACCTGTCCGAAGGCATATGGCAATGCTGAGTACATTCCAGCTGCTTTTTCTCTGTAAAAGACTGTTCTTTCAACAGCAACAACCGGTTGTACTGATACAGCGTTTTGAAGTCCTAAGAAAATTACAGCAGCATACATAGAACCCACTGCATTTAAGATATCCTGTTGCCTTGTTCTGTGGTTCCAAAAATTTTTCACTTCAATTAGTAGTTGAAGTAACCAATACTAGGCATTATTGCACAATAATTATATACCTTTTGGAACCTAGATCCCAGAATATCGTTCCAAGCAGTAGAGCAATAACAGTTGTGAATATGAGTCTCACTGCAGTGTATGGTGGGTTTCGCCAGTAAGACCAATGCTGCTTCCAAAGACAAGCCATACATTGGATTTGGAAAGGCTGTGAATATCTAGTCTGGAAGTGTAGATCTTTGGAACCGGGAGCAGGAGTGCTAAGCTCCTTGATCAATGCTTTGTTTCTCCTGCACCAGTAATTTTACAGGGTGAATAGTTACTATAGAACAGCATTATTGATTATAACTAACTAATTCTAGCTATCTTTTAAGGGCATCGATATTTGTCCTTTCAAACTCAAGTCATTTCAATCTTAATTGTTAAACATGTAAGAATTGTCAATACAAATTTCAGAAATAATTGATTAACTACAGAGCTTGTTTTGACTATAACAACATTGGACTTGTTTCCAGCATTTAAAACTTAAAACATGAGTGCCTGACTGTCTGGAGGCTCTTTCTGTTTACTCCTTGAAAAATTGAGGTGATCCTACCTATACAATTCTGAGTTCTTATATATGTTGGTGAAGTTGATGCCAATGATTTCTTCTTGTATAGCCGAAGTAATCTCCAGCATCCAAGTTGCAGGGTTGTAACCATCCTTTATCTTTGGAATGCCTTCAATTTCCTAGGAAAAGCAAAACTTCTTTCAGCAATTTTGGAGCAGACATGCAAAAATTGCATTATCATAATGTAGCTACTAGACTAACCTCAAAATACTTAATCAGGTGACAAGAATGACGACCCAATGGACCTACATATATTTCTTCACCTCCCCTTTTCATCAAAAATAGCTGTATTTGACCATTAATATGCATGTGTTAGTTTAAGCAAATAGAAAACGTAATTGGATGCCTTACCTGCATAAGACTCTCACCTCGTCAAAAGCATCAAATATATCAATGCTAGGCTGGTGGATGGTGCACACAACAGTTCGTCCCGTGTCCACAGTGTTCCTCACAGCTCTCATTACAATTGCTGCTGCCCTAGCATCAAGGCCAGATGTTGGTTCATCCATGAATATAATAGATGGGTTGGAAACAAGCTCAACTGCAATAGTTAGCCTTTTGCGCTGCTCAGTTGAAAGACCACTGACTCCAGGTAATCCTACAAGTGCTTCCCTTAAGGGAGTCAGCTCCACAAGCTCCATGACTTCCTCGGTGAACATCTATGACCCATCATTTAAGCAACAAATAAGCTTGACACTGCCTAAACAAAATGTGCTACTGTCTGTATTAACAACAGTAGTAACTTTTCTCATTTCCTATTGATTACAAAGAGAATTTCTGTCAAATTCTACAAGTTTGCCCCTTTGTTCCCATAAAAATAATATAAAAAAGAAGTTGGCAGAAGTAAGCAAGAACATACCTTCCTGGCCTCAGAATTAACCTTAAGGGGTAGTCTAAGCCATGCAGAAAATAGTAAGGACTCATAGACTGTAACATATGGAGAATGGATATCTGTTTGCTCACAGTACCCTGATATGCGAGCAAATGTTTCTTGCTTCTTTGGGTACCCTGAAATTGTGATGCTTCCATCTAGATAACCAACTGTTTTTCTTCCAGCTAACACATCCATTAAAGTTGTCTTCCCAGCACCACTGACTCCCATCAAAGCTGTTAGGACTCCAGGCCTGAAAGCACCACTCACTCCCTTCAAAAGTTCCAGTCGATCCTCTGGAATTCCTTGCTCTTTCATTTCCTGCAAGTGTTGTAAAAAGTTCAGCATGAAGATACACTTAGCATTGATTGAGATATCCTGATTTGAAAGGATTTTAGAATTTAGGTGGACTCTATTCTAATTCCAAAAGGCAACTTACCAATAAAACCTTATGGAACCTAGCACTACATGAAAATTCTCCAACATGTAGTGCAACAGTACTGAATTGCACATATGCAGTGCCATATCATTGAATATGAATAAAAATCTATAGAGAATGCATCAAAACTTTAACAGTGCAGTTGACATATGCTCCTCTACTTCCTAGGTTCCCACTTATTGCTGCCTTTTTCAAAAGCTTAAAGATACCTGCGGCATGTCTACAGCATATCTGATTTCATCAAAAGTTATAGAAAACGGTTCAAAAGGGAGAACAGTCCCCCTTCTACTTCGCTGACTAGCTTCATCAAAGCTGCCCATTCTGGCATAAGAAGGCCTAGATGATGGGCTTCTTGGGCTTTCTTTCCCTCGGTCTGCATTGATTTTACGATGATCATGCTGTAGCTTGTATAACAAAAGGTAGCATGAGAAAATAGTTCAACAATTCTAGTAACCTACCAGAAGATTTCTTTCCTCTTAACGATAATTCAACGGACTGCCTTCTGCTGTCAACCTCAGGCAAGGTTTCTTTAGATATTACTGCTTGAGGCTTACCGAATGCTACAGCAAATTAACATAGTTTAGAGCATAGTCTCTTCATTTGAAACTTATAAGCATAGGAATCGAAACTTACGATTAAGATACTTTAGAGCCAAACTGAAGAGAAAATTGAATAGGAAAGCATATCCAATTAAAGCACCCACTCCAATCCAGTACCAATGTGCTTCTGGGAAAATCCCACGAGATTTTAAGACCAAAACTCCTAAACTTTCTGTGGAATTAGGTGGAATCTACATGATGATATTTTTCAGATACTTGTTAATTGGTGGCGATCAAAACAATCTCCACTATTACATTTAATTTATTTCTTTCATCAAAATTCAAGAAAGATGGCCTTACATGTCTCCAACTCTTCCCAAGAAATTCATTCACAGCTATAGAGTTTTGTGCATACATCAGTGGTGAGACCCAATAACCCCACAACCACCATTTCTTCACACCATCTGATGCAAAAGAGTATATATTCTTTATTGTGAAAAACTCAATATATATCACAGTGAAGGAAAACAAAGCAAGAAAGAATAAGATGTATCAAGCTCATGTTTAATTCACCTCGTGACAAGATGAATCCTCCCATAGCAATAATTGCCAGCAAAGCTAGTGAACCGCAAGTATTTGCAACAATCATATTTCTTCCTACAGCTGCCAATAATCGGAACAATCCTGATGCCATCTGGTTAAGACACAGGAGTAAAAGGTACTGTCTCAACAACCTGCCAGTGAGAGCTTTAATTAGGGTTGACTGACACAAAAGATATAATCATTGTGTATTTCATTTCTCACCTCCCTACATTTGGATCAAAGCCTACAACATAGTAAGTCATGACTATCCAAATGGTGACTTCTATCAAGGTGATTGGAATCTTCATAATCCATGTGGTTAGAGCATATGCCCATGAAGGATAAAAAAGAAACTCCCTTTGCTTGTAGAAGACAGGGAGTTTAATGATGGTCATTGATATCTCCGAGACTCCATTGAGCATTATCACTATGAGAGTAAAGAATAATGCACCCATAAAAATCCCACCATCTATCACTGAATTCCGGTGCATATCCACTTTCAGAAACAATGTCATTGTTATGAAAGCTGTAAAGATGAGCTGAAATACACAAGAAAGTGGGGATAATAAAAGGACAAATAACACCATCTCTAGGACATGAGTCCAAAAACTCAGGGATACAATTTAACTTATGGAGTTTTCTATATTTATGATACAATAATTAACCCTCTTCAGAATGCTTCTAATTAGATACTACTCACCTGGATAATTTTGAAAGCATAGACAAATAAGTTCCTTTTCATAAGCAGATAGTCCCTGGATATGCAAGCTTTTAGCAGTTGCTTCTGGCTAACACCATACTTCTCTGTCGCTAGAGCAGCAGGGTGGCTTTGTGACTTGTCAAATGGAGTTGCAAGCTCTTCATTTAGTTTTTGACCAATTTGAAATGACTGAAATTCTTCGGCAAATTGTTTGGCAGTAACAAAAGAATAAGGCTCATTTTTATGCACCCAGTACTGCTCTTGATCTTTCCTTGATGTCACCTGTTGCAATTCTATGAGAATGTATTCAAACATAACCTAAATATTTACTAGGAATACTTGAAAGAAACTGTGGTGAACATTAGAATTTACTTCTTGTAGAAAATCAGCAACTCCTTTTCTCTCAGGACACCTGAAACCCATGTATTCAAAGAACTCGAGCACATTTTCACGAGGTCCTTGGTAGGCAATTTGTCCATCCGAGAGAAGAATTATATCATCAAATAGGTCATATGTTTCTGGGGCCGGTTGGAGAAGAGAGATAACAGCAGTTCCATTCAGGATGTGGATGGATTGTCTTAGTGCATTCACTATTTGGAATGTTGTTGAACTGTCCAAACCAGTGGATATCTCATCCATGAAAAGTGCTTTTGCTGGTCCAACCAGCATCTCCCCTGAATCATTTAGCACAGAAAATAACTTGACCATCAGTTTAAAGTTTTGGACTAATTACTAGACAAATTCACACTATACTTGTCAAAATGTCATTGAATAAGCTCACCTGTTGTGACTCGCTTCTTTTGTCCGCCAGAGATACCTCGTATCATTTCATCTCCCACCATGGTATCAGCACAAACTTCAAGTCCCAATATCTACGAACTTTGAGAATAAGAGAACATATAGTTGCAAAGATTTTTTTTTAAAAAAATTTGATATTTGATATGTTCTTATATCATTTGTTAGCTTCGATCATTTTTAAATTTTCACCTTGAGTATATAATCTGTAACTACGCTGGTCTCTTGCCCCTCCAGTGCTGCTGCCTGTTACTTTAACAACAAAAATATCATTTTCAAACCTCAAAAACACTTTTCACAATGGAAATGAACCCCTTCAAATAAGAAATTAAAGAAAAAATATTTATCCAGAATGATTTAAATCACTTTGGTTGATAGCTGCTATATCACCTTCATATAGATGTCAATATCAGGGTCAGGTTTGATATTTGCTGCTTTCTCTCTTCTTGCTAATTCTACCAATATGTCTGCCAATAAGAACAATCTTTAATTATGTGACTCAACAATTCCTAAAACAAGCAAGTGTGTGTCAATTGTAGTGTTTCAGCATACCATAACGAGGTCCAACTCCTTGACATCTTGCAGAAAAAGCCAACGTTTCTCTTACTGTCATTTCTCCTATGTGGACATCGTACTGACTTATATAAGCCGATGTCCTCTGTGGTATGAACTCTTCCATTTCATGTCCATTGTAAGTTACCCTTCCAGAAATCTGAAATTTTCACATGTCCTCATATCAGATCATAATATCAATTAATTCCAATGAACATGCCGGCGGAATATAAGCTTATTTCTTACTTTTAATTCCTTACGAAGCTTTCCAGCCAGTGCCAATAGTAATGTGGTCTTGCCTGAGCTTGGGGGCCCTAACAGCAATGCCATTCTGTCCAAGTTTGGTAACGAAATGGGCAGTTTAACATTTCAAGAGCTCATAACAAGTTCATGTACTAGTTGAACTAGTCTCCATACCTTTGAGGCTTGATGATTCCACTGACATCTTTAAGTATGGGCAACGTTTTTTTCTTGCTTGGGAGGATATGAAGGTGATTCAAGAAACCCTTTATCAAGACAAGAAGAATCAAAAACCAGGTTTGAAAATTGGTAATTTTGAGATATTAATAGATGATAAAGCATGTTTGGGATTCCAAAATACCTCAAACATGTTCACACAGTAGTTGAACAGAGTTGGTAATGCTCTACTTCCCTCATAAGCTTCTGCTTCTACATTTAAATGCTCAAACCGGACTTCAATTCTCGGAAGGTTAATTCCAACTCTGGGTTTTTTTTTTTTTCAGTTTGAGAAACAAAGAAACTCAAATGAATGCTTAAAACACAAACTTCATGAAGAATGATGGCAGTCAAATGAAACTTACTGGTCAATGCGTTCCCTGAGCCTCAACAAGAACTTCTCATGATCTTCCCCGGCAACTTTCACTAGTCTCTCCACCAAATTCCTTCTCTCCAGTAACCCCAGATTCTTGATGTCAACTTCCCTCAATTGACCACCTTCTTCAGCAAGTATACCTGTTCTGATACGTGCAAATGTTGGCAGCTTCTCAATAGCAGCCCATTTCAAAGCTTCTTCATCGTCTTCTTCCTGGAAAGACTTGGAGAAAACTTCCACGGAGTTGCTCCTCCATAACTTATAACTACCTATGCGTAAACTACTGGCTCTATATGGTTCACCACTCTCCATTCCACCATGCCAAGTAGTAGATAGACTTAACAGAAGCAAAGGGTGATGAAAACTGAGTTACATGCTTAATCTAAGAATTTAAGAGCTGATGCAGCTGTTCACAATAAAAGATACAATGAGTGAAGTGAGTGGAGAGAGACAGTACTCCACAGTAACATAACAATCCTTGGCCATTCCTTTATTAAAAGGATAATTGCCATGTTTAGATATTTTTAAAGGTTTAGACATGACACGGGTCCAGAGGCTGCTGGGTCATTTCCCCTTTCTCATTCACAAGAAAGCAACTTTGAAAAACAACCCACCAATGATTCATTAAAACAAAAAGATTTGTGAAACACTGTAGCCCGGTTAATCAACAAGGATACGCTCCAAATTGCTTTCCATGGTGGAATCAGCCAGGATATATGCTCCCAACAGTATGCATTTTCTTCCAGGCAGGATTTAAAGCTGAGCCACCTTGACATGCATCAGAGAAAGAAAGGGCCGGCAAGTGGGGTGGGATTGGGTCATTAAAAATTGAAACACCTTAACCCATAATTAGAACATTGGGTTGAAGTATCATGGCAGCTCATGGATCGAACATCTCATATCAAATTTTATTACCAAGACAGAAAAAAAAAAGGAGAAGAAAAAACTTTTTGTTAAAGAGAATGAAATATAACAATGTTCATCTCTTGCATCAGAGGTTGAATATAGACCGTAAATATTTGACAAAAGTTTATTGCATTGACTGCATTTTTGAGGATAAAAGTTTCCTGGATATCTTTAAGCACAGCAAATTGCTTTGAACCCATGTTTATGGCATCATCATCTTTTTTGGAAGTTGAATGCCTTGATTGAGAAGGCAAATATGAATCCGAAGAACACACAAATTCCAACAATCACGATCGCAACAACCCAAACAAAGTCATCCCTATAGCCGAAATAGCTTCTCAGAAAATCTTTCACTGTTTCTCCTGACTCAAATTTATCTTCTATGTCCCCAAATTGTGAAGCAACCAGTCCATACAAGGTCCAAGCAATGGGGCACATCCAGTAGTACCATCTCCACCAGATAGGAATCCTCTGTCATTGAAACAATTTCCAGTCCGTTAGGCTATGATCTGATTCATTGTTACAAAGAAATATGCGTTGGGTTAGTAAAGCTGACCGTTCGAGGAATGATGAATCCTGAGAAAATATTCCATATCCGATAGAAGAATGTTGAAACTATGGAAGCAATATTGAAGTTAGGGGTAACAGCTACAGACATCATCCCATAGAAAGTGTAGTATAACAAGGTGAAGTACATAAAGAAGAGAAACCAAAAGAACTTGCGGATTGTCCATTCAAATCCTATCATGGCGTACACTATAACTCCATATATGACAGATTGAATCAAAGTGTATGGCAATTCAATCACAAGCTGCAAACAGTAGGATTGGTAAGTTAGTATAGCGCTAAAATTCCCTATTTTTATTTGAACAAAACTGTTTTTAACTTTCCAGTTATATTATAACTTGTTCACAAGTTCCCCTAGAAGCTTAGTTACTTTCTTGCATTCATAAACCCAACTTTTGTCCTATTTCAAGGCTTCTCTGCGATACTAACACTACATAGACATGAATCACAACTACATCTACTTATAGATGACTTCAATTTCTTTTAAAAAGTTTGGTTGGTTGGATGTCTAAAATCGAAGGCAAAACAGTTTACCTGTCCGAAAGCATATGGCAATGCTGAATACATTCCAGCTGCTCTTTCTCTGTAGAAGACAGTTCTTTCAACAGCCACAACCGGCTGGACTGATGCAGCATTTTGAAATCCTAAAAACATTACTGTAGCATACATAGAACCCATTGCGTTTAAGATATCCTGTCGCCTTGTTCTGCAATTCAACGCATTTCAACTTAAATTAGAGTTTAAAGTTACAGAATAGATGCTCTGCTCTGACCAATGGCTATCAATGAACAATGTGAAAAAATTGTATACCTTTTGGAACCTAGATCCCAAAATATTGTTCCAAGCAGTAGAGCTATAAAAGTTGTGAATATGAATCTCACTGCTGTATATGGTGGGTTTCGCCAATAAGACCCATACTGCTTCCACAGGCAGGCCAGACATTGGATATGGAAAGGCTGAGAGTATCTAGTCTGGAAGTGTACATCTCGTGAACCAGGAGCAGGTGTGCTATGCTCCTTGATCAATGCTTTGTTTCTCCTGTACCAGAATTAATGTTTGCTATAAAACAAAACTTATGCATTCGTGATTAAAGTGTAGAATTCTTTCAGTAACTTTAATCTCTTTCTTTCAAATTATTGTTATTTGACAATACAGAAATGATCAACCATTTATATACCTTGTTCTGCTTCAAAGCACTTTGAATTGATCTAAACGTTGAACTTAAACCTTAAATGCGCAGAGGAAAATTTTTTTCACTCATTGGGACTCTTAGGTGATCCTACCTGTACAGTTCTGAGTTCTTGTATATATCAGTGAAGTTAACACCAAGGACTTCTTCTTGTGCTGCTGAAGTGATCTCCAACATCCAAGTTGCAGGATTGTAACCATCCTTTATCTTGGGAATGCCATTGATTTCCTTCAGTAAGGAAAATTTCTTTCAGCAACTTGGCAACAGATATGTTAAAATCTTAATATATCATGTATTCATCGGACTAACCTCAAAATACTTTATCAAGTGGCAAGAATGGCGACCTAGTGGACCAACATACAATTCTTCACCTCCCCTTTTCATTAGAAACAGCTGCATTTCGCCATTGATATGCTTGTATTAGTTTAAGAAAAGAGAACAGGCTAAATGCCTGCCTAACCTTAAAAGGGATTCTCACCTCATCAAAAGCATCAAAGATGTCAATGCTCGGCTGGTGGATGGTGCACACAACAGTACGCCCTGTATCCACAGTGTTCCTCACAGTTCTCATTACTATTGCTGCTGCCCGGGCATCGAGGCCAGATGTTGGTTCATCCATGAATATAATAGAAGGGTTGGCAACAAGCTCAACTGCAATGGTTAGCCTCTTGCGCTGCTCAGTTGAAAGGCCGTTGACTCCAGGTAATCCTACTAGTGCTTTCCTTAAAGGGGTCAGCTCTACAAGCTCCATGACTTCCTCAATGAACATCTGTAATCCACCAATTTTAGTAACAAATAAGCTGAGTTTCTGAATAGAACACCTGGTAATGTTTGTATCACCTTCTTTGCCTCTTTAGCCTACTTAAAGAGAAGAAGATAGCAGAAAGTAAAAACATACCATCCTCGTCACATTATTAACCTCAGGGGGTAGTCTTAGCCAAGCAGAAAATAGCAAGGACTCGTAGACAGTAACATGAGGAGAATGGATATCTGTTTGCTCACAATACCCTGATATGCGAGCAAATGTTTCTTGCTTCTTTGGATACCCTGAAATTGTGATGTTTCCATCAATATAACCACCTGTTTTTCTTCCAGCCAACACATCCATTAAAGTTGTCTTGCCAGCACCACTAACACCCATTAGAGCTGTTAAGACTCCAGGCCTGAAAGTGCCACTCACTCCCTTCAATAGTTCCAACCGGTCCTCTAGAACACCTTGAGCTTTCATTTCCTGCAAAGTAAAGATTAGGCATCAAGATACAATCAGCCAGATTTAGTTGAGATGTCATACATTGTGATTGACAACCTACATGCTAGAACCTTATGAATCCTGATGTTTGTTAAAAGTTCTTTGAAAATATTGTATTGTCTTAAAATAGTGCGACTGCAAAAATGTTTCACATATACTCCCTATTTCTTAGCTTTTAACATATTGTTGCCCCTTAAAGAGGCTTGAATATACCTGTGGCATGTCTACTGCATATCTCATGTCATCGAAAGTGATAGCAAGTGGTTGAAAAGGGAGAGCCATTCCTTTCTTCCTGAGCTGACTAGCTTCATTAATGCTGCCTGCTGTTGCAGACAGTGAATTAGACGATCCACTTTTTTGGCTTTCTTTCCCTTTTTCTGCATTGTTTTACTATGATTATGCTGTAGCTTGAATAAGAAAAGGTAGCATCAGAAAGTAGATCAACAAATTAGACCCACCAGACGTTTTTCCTCTTGATGATATCTCAATAGGCTCCCTTTTAGTGTTAACACTTCTCTTAGGTATGGTTTCTTTTGATATTACTGCTTGATTTTTCCCGAATGCTGCAGTATGTTAATCAGATTATTAGAACATAGCCTTCACATTCAAAACTAATACATGTGAGAAGAGAAACTTACGATCAAGATACTTTAGAGCCAAAGTAAACAGGAAATTGAATAGGAGACAATATCCAATCAAAGAACCCACTCCGAGCCAATACCAATGTGCTTCTGGGAATATACCTCTGGATTTTAAGACTAAAACTCCTAACTTTTCAGTTGAATTAGTTGGAATCTACAAGGAAAATATTTTCATATAGTCTTTAGCGAAATTTCAACCATTCCGTATGCCTAAGATTTGGTTCTTCTATCATAGGTCAAGAATGATTTACTTACATGTCTCCAACTATTTCCCAGAAATTCGTTCACAGCTATGGCATTCTGACCATACATCAATGGTGAGATCCAATAGCCCCACAACCACCATTTCTTCACATTATCTGATGCAAAACAACACATTCTTGAATGTCAAAACTTAATACTCATAGAAGCAAAGGGGAAAAGAAGAATCTGTCCAATTCTAATCTTTAATCACCGTGTGACAAGATAAATCCTCCCATAACCAGAACTGCTAGCAAAGCTAATGCACCACAAGTGTTAGCAACAATCATATTTCTTCCTAATGCTGCCATTAATCTGAACAATCCTGACGCCATCTGGTTAAGACATAGGAGTAAAAAGTACTGCTTGAAAAACCTGTCAACAAGGGCATAATTAGGTTACAACACAAAATGTACAAACCTTACAATCATTCAGTATTTCCTTTCTTACCTCCCGACATTTGGATCAAAGCCTATGACATAGTATGTCATTATTACCCAAACGGTAACTTCTAAGACAGTGACTGGGATCTTAAGAACCCACGTGGGAAGAGCATATGCCCAGGAAGGATAAAAATGAAGGTCCCTTTGCTTGTAGAAGACAGGAAGTTTCAATATGGTCATGGAAAGGTCCGAGAATCCATTGAACATTATTACAATGAGAGTAAAGAAGAGAGCACCCATATAAATCCCACCATCAGTTACCGTATTGCGGTGCATCTCTGTTCTTAGAAATACTGTCATCGACACAAATGCTGTAAAGCCGAGCTGAAATTCACAAAAGAAGAAGAATCAATCACATTCTCTAAAACTTGAGTCCAAAAACTCAATGCTTCGCTCAGATTTTAGTACTATCTAGCTTCTTTGCACTGTCAGAATTTTAAATTCGTCAAAACCTATCATTTTTAATACCACTCACTTGGATCATTTTGAAAACATAAACAAATAAGTTCCTTTTCATAAGCAGATATTCTCTTGACATGCAAGCTTTTAGCAGTTCCTTCTTATTGACACCATACTTGTGTTCTGTTAGAGCTGCAGGGTGGCTTTTGGACTTGTCAAATGGAGTTGCTAACTCATCACACAATTTTCGACCAATGTGAAATGACTGAAACGCTTCAGCAAAATCTCTTGCAGTAACAAAATGATAAGGCTGCTCTTTATTTTCCCAGTACTGCTCTTGATCTTTTATTGATGTCACCTGTTGGACCACAAGGGCATAAAACAAAAAAAACTTGTAAACACATTCAAACCCTTTCTGGTTGTTAAATAGGAAAGGTGGACAGCAATTTGAGGTTCAGACTAGAATTACTTCTTGTAAAAAGTCAGCAACTCCTTTTCTTTCAGGACACCTGAAACCCATGTATTCAAAGAACTCGAGCACATTTTCACGGGGTCCTTGATACACAATCTTTCCATCTGAGAGAAGAATTATATCATCAAAAAGGTCATATGTTTCCGGGGCTGGCTGGAGAAGAGATATAACAGCAGTGCCATTGAGGATGTGAATGAATTGTCTCAGTGAATTCACTATTTGGAATGTTGTGGAGCTGTCCAAGCCAGTAGATATCTCATCCATAAAAAGTACCTTAGCTGGTCCAACCAGCATTTCCCCTGTCATACACAAATAGATTGATGATCTGCTAGTACTTTGGAATTCATATTAGAGAAAGCCTGTCCAATAACTGTGAAAAATAAATGTCATTCAATAAGGTTTACCTGTGGTGACTCGCTTTTTTTGTCCCCCAGAAATACCTCGTAACATATCATCTCCAACCATGGTATCAGCACAAACTTCGAGTCCCAGTATCTGCAAAGTTTCAGAGATTAGAAACCGATTTTGCAAACATACTATATTATACTTGTTTTGAATGATTCTTTAGCTTGGGTTTGAAAAATATCGAAATTACCTTGAGTATATAATCTGTAACTACATTTGCCTCTTGCCCCTCAAGTGCTGCTGCCTGCATAGTTCACAGTAACAAATCCTTCTCAAACAATGGCAAGTTGAGAACGCCCTAAAATAAGGGAGGTAAACAGAACACATTGAAAAATTTGCTGCGGCTGTTGTCTCACCTTCATATAGATGTCAATATCAGGATCAGGCTTGATATTTGCCTCTTTCTCCCTGCGTGATAATTCTACCAACATGTCTGCCAAGTATGGACAATATTCAGTTGTAAGCCCACCAAAATTGCTAAGATCAATTGCATGTCAACGTTCATAGTGTTTCAACTGACCGAAACGAGATCCAACCCCTTGACATCTTGCTGAAAAAGCCAGTGTTTCTCTAACTGTCATTTCTCCTATATGCAGGTCATGTTGACTTATATAAGCTGATGTCCTTTGAGGAACAAACTCTTTCAGTCCATGTCCATTGTAAGTAATCCCCCCAGAAACCTGAAGTTCTCAAATGTGCTCGTATCAGAATTGAGATTGTAATTACTAATGTCAAGTAAATTTCCAAAAAGCCTTTAGGCTGGGTTTCTTTGTACAGATTTTGAGGCTTTTAGGCTATTATATATGCTGGGTTTGTAGCACAACGCCATAAAAGCCTGCTTTTGCTCGTAAGATTGTTGGAGTAATCTCCTTGTCAATGAATTTCACTTTTCAAAAAAAAAAAAAAATTGTACCAAAAGCAAACCTTGAATGCAAACAAAATATAATTTAATTCTTACTTTTAAGTCTTTGCCAAGCTTGCCAGCCAACGCTAACAGTAATGTGGTCTTGCCTGAGCTTGGAGGCCCTAAGAGCAATGTCATTCTACAGAAAGTTTGATCAGAGAAATTATGAGTAGTGTACCATTTCAAGACAAAATAAGAGATCGTTTTTGTAGAACTGGCCCACTTGCCTTTGAGGCTTGATGATGCCGCTAATATCACTAAGAATGGGCAATGATTTCTTTTTGCTCGGAAGAATATGAAGGTAATTCAAGACACCCTGAAGCAGAACACAGGCAGAGAGAAAACGGGGTCAGTTCTAAATTCTGATGTATAGGAATTTGCAAAATGAACGGATAAATACATGATAGAATTAATTAAGCATGCATGTTTGTGATCCGAAAGATGTACCTCAAACATATTAACAGAGAAGTTGAACATGGTTGGTAATGCTCTATTTCCCTCATAAACTTCTGCTTCAACGTTTAAATGCTCGAACCGGACTTCAATTGTTGGCAGCTGAATTCCAACTCTGCGTTTGAGATTGAAACATAGAGAAAATTGGCTATTCTGAGCTTCAAAATAACACAAAAAAGGGATATAATATATATTAAAATGAACTTAACTACCGTTCAATGCGATCCCTGAGCTTCAGCAAGAAATTCTCATTGTCTTCCTCAGCAACTCTTACAAGCCTCTCCAACAGGTTCCTCCTTTCAAGCAATCCGAGTTTCTTTATATCAATCTCTCTTAACTCCCTCCCTTCTTCGGCGAGTATACCTGTCCTTACACGTGAATATGTTGGCAGTTTCTCGATTGCGGCCCATGTCAAAGCTTCTTCATCGTCTTCTTCACGAGAAGACTTGGAGAAAACTTCTACGGATGAGCTATTTCTCCATATCGTAGAGCTTCCTATGCGTATGCTACCAGGTCTATATGCATCGGCACTCTCCATTTGTGCCGCGATATATGCAACAACTATTAATGAAAACAATGGCCAGGGAAAGGCAAGAAATTAACTTTCATGCAAAGAAACAATGTCCAGGATGTTGGATGGGAACGAGTATTTATAATAACTATGCTTCATGGTGGATTTCATTGTTGCAGGCTAACGTGGTGCAGTTATATTGAGTCAAAATACTTTACGAGTATGTTGAAGTATGGAAGTCTTCTTTTTTTCTATGAGCAACTTAAGATTAAGAATATGGTCGCTACCCAATTTCTAATTATATTATACTGAGGCTTACAATTAATTAAAAATGAAAGGTGTGTTTGGGGAGAAATCATAAGTGACAATCTCACATATATACTTGTCATATTTAATTTAATTTACTTGAGATTCACAATATATATTAAACTTTATTAATTGACTAAGATCAAGTAAAGGCTCTAATTATATTAGATTAGGGCTTATAATTAATTAAAATTGAAAGGTGTGTTTGGGGAGAAGTCATAAGTGACAATCTCACATATATACGTCATATTTAGTTTAATTTACTTGAGATTCACAATATATAAATGAAACTTTATTAATTTAATCGGCTGTGTTGATAAACTACTAAAAATGTTTTAAAATCATTGAAAATTTTCAGTTTCAGTGATTTAATTTTTTCTTCAATGCGTTGCATAACTCATTTTAGAAACCACTTATATGAAAGCTTTTTAATAAAAATATGTTGAAAATCTTAAGCAGTTAAAAAGCTACTTAATATATTCAATTCTTCTTATTTAAGAAAAAATTTGTTATTTAAATACATTAACCTTATTATTTTTTAAAACTTTTACTAATGTAAAGTACTTAAAAATCAAGAAAAAATATATTTAGTATTTAATTTTCAGTAAAATATCAAATGATTTTTACAGGAACAATTAAGTACTTAATTTTCAAAATTTTAAATTCAGTACTTAATTTTGTTTTCAGTTTATTAAACAACACCAAAGTTAGAGCCGAAGGATGAAAAAATTATAGAAAATAAATGAAATAACGTTTAAAAATAAAATTCAATTTGTACTCAGATATTATATTTATGTAGTTATATATGATGTTTAATTATTTAAAAAAATTTTTGTTTTCATTTTGTTTCAAATTATTATTTTAAGGATTGTAGACATCAGAAATGAAAATTCTTTTAATTTTAATTTTAAAACAATTTTGATAATTATTATTTTTATTAACTATTATAATTATTGCTCTAATATGAATGCTTCTAGACAGTTATTGATCCAAAATAAAGAAAACCTATTATAATTCATTTTTGGAAAAAAAATAGAAAGAAGAAAGAAGAAAAGGATTTGATGCACTCTAATCATCTATTTTGTCTGATCATCATTAAAATGCTTAAAAATTCGTCTATTTCACATCTATCATGTTCTAAAATTAAATTTAATTAGGTTTTAGGCAAATTGTTATTTTTTTAAAATATTGGATGTTTATTCGGTTCTGCATATAAAGTCTTACTTCCTTATTATCTCATAAATGCCACCATTCTTTAGCAACGTTTTATTCTTTATTTTTAAATAGAACCATTATAATGTGGTATACTTTAAATATACATGTAAATTATTAATTAAGGTCCACTTTTTTTTGGAATAAAATTTTATTACCAATTAATATGGTACAAGGGTTTGGCTTGAACATATTAAAGCTCAAACCCTATGAAATATGAATTTATTTAAATAGTCAATGAACCAAACTTGAAATAATTTGAAACCGTGCCCAACTGCTATCTAATATAGTAAAGTTACAAAACTAAAATTTAATTTTTTTTATATAGAATTAAGGTTTGAAAATTTTATATGAAAAATTTTAGATTTAAATACTTTAATTTTATATATATTTTAAAAAATATGTCGCAAATAGATTACAACACCAACATACACTCAACTTATCTAAAAATTAATTTAAATTATCAATATACAATCATGTATACCTAATTATCTTCTCTTTAAAATAAAAAAATAAAATTTGAATCAACTTTTATCTTACCAATAAGATATGTTTTTAATTTTTTTTTTTTGAAACGATAAAGGATAGCTTGAGTCGAGTCTCACCAGCAAGATACATTCACCTAACTTAAAATACACGGGCCCTCCTCTCTCTTATTTTTTTAAAAAAATATTAAATCGTCACTGCTAATTATTATTATATAATAAAATCTGAGCTCAGTGATAAAGGGGGTTGAGCAAGTCATTTTCCTCATCTTAACCACAAATTGAGGAAGAAAAAGATAGAGATTTTGTAGATTGCAGTAAAGGTTGTTCGAGTATGAGGTCATCGATGACATCATTATCCAAAATTTACTTAAACAATTTGAGTAACTGTTTTAGGCAATGGAAATCATCATGCTAGACTATCAAGTTTCAACTAATCAATTGAATTATATATATATATATATATTATATTATGAGTAAGTGAATGCAGCCTCCCCAATTACTAAACATACTTAAGTTGTCATAATCCTTTAGTCATAATGAGAAACAAATAACTAAACATCGCAGTAGCTACGCGTCAAAATTATGTTCATTTAATTATTGACGACAAAGAAACAATAATTAAAGCATAATGAAATGATTGAGTGGCTGCTATTTGTCCTTTCCACTTTCTTTGAACAAAGACAAGGGCCATTGATGTTGTCTTGTCAACTATTTAAGTTTACCGTAGATTAGAATGGCGTCAGGCGGCTTTTGTTTTGTTTTATTAATGTTAAGATAATTATATAAATTATTTAAATAATAAATAATAAATAATTGGAGAATTTTGTTTTTAAATATTCAAATTAATATTCTCTTCTTACTTACTTTTTAATTGAAAGTTTTAGAATAAGAACATTATTTTTGTTTTTTCTGAACTAATATTGTTGTTGGGTTTTGACGTTCGAAAAACTTTTCCTTAATTAATTTCTTTATCTTACATTGCATTTTTCTTTTTTTTTTGTTTTTGGTATGAAAATAGAGTATATATAAGCCATTATTAACATTAGATTTTGCTATCATCCTTCGTTCGCTTTTTAAGAGAAGAAGTATTACCGAAAATTGTAACCATGTGATCTTTTTTTACCACGTCAATTCTTTAAAGTTATATTTTGAAACTTTAATTTGGTAAAAAGTGATTTAAATTTTAAATTTAATGTAAAAAATTTTTATTATGTGGGGTAGGCAATATAGCGAGGACAAGTATGAGCTTTTAAAGTTCCAACTTAAAATTAAAATATTTTAATATTTATTATATTATTAAATTTATTATTTTATTAAAAAGGAATATTCTTTTTTAATTAAATTATATCTAAATCACTTAAAATCAAAGTAGTTTAATATTTTATTTTATATTATTAAATTTATTATTTTATTAAAAAGGAATATTTTTTTCTAATTAAATTATATCTAAATTACTGAAATTCAAAATATTTTAATATTGGATGTGATATTATGAAATTTATTATTTTATTAAAATGAAATATTCCTTTTCAATTAAAGTAAATCTAAATCAATTAAAATCAAAATATAGTGACAAAATTGAAATAACAAGAATTTTATTCAAAGCATACTAACAAAATATACACAAAAGTTCTATTATAATAAGAAATGAAAATAAAATATATGAGATTAATTTGATCTTTCTTCATATAAATTTAATTTCAAATTATGAATTAAAGAGAATATATGTAATCAACATATTAGAGTGCCTCAAAAAATTTATTAAAGAGGGGGAATAGCTAGATTTATTGAACGAATGGCATTGTATATAAATTTACAGTAAAAAAAAAGACAAGTATATTAAACTTATTTTCATATATATATATATATATATGTATGAGTAATTTTGTAAATTAACATCACATTTTTAGTAAAGTGCTTGTAAATCAAGTAGTGCAATATTTTCTTTTCAGTATTTTAATCAGTATTTTTCAGCGTATACTAGAATCCTATAATGTTTTTTTTTTAGTAATCACATTTCCTAAGATGACACTCATTGCAATCATATTATATTGTAAAGCACCAAAATGTTACCTAAAAGGTGATTTGGGTACAAATTAAAATTTAAAGGTTATAGTATAATAGCTTTTTTATTATTTAAGTCATAATTTTTTAAATGAAGATATCATGTATGAACCAATGAATCAAATGTTTGAGGGCAATGCTCATATTGCTAGATACAAATATTTGTTGTATTAAAAAGTAGGTTGATCAACTATTATCAATAGAAAGAAAATTAAAAATCTAGTTTTTTAAGTCAGTAAATGAAAAATGGTTTTGATCTTTAATTCTAGGAGAAAGTGTACCCATGTATTGCTATTAGCTTAGTCAATTTAAGTTTGATTTAGGTTCTTATGGGGGTATTACAAGGTTGTTGGAGCAAATGAATGTAAGTAAAACTCTCACACAAAAAGGAATCAAAAGGTTGCACGAACTCAAATAATTATGAATTTATTCCTGGGATGTCATGTAATCGACAAGTAGAAGAAGACCACAAAGTCGAGCAAATACACAGCAACTTTGACAAAAACTCTTGCACTTGTTACATTTTTCTCTAAAAGGAGACATATCCTGATGTTGCACAACTTATTGGTACAATAAATTGCTTTCTGTATGCCCTATTCTCATCTCTGTTGGAAATTAAATGTCTTAATTGAGTAGGCGTAAATGAATGCTTAGAGGAGACATATTCCAACAATCATGATTGCCACCACTCCCACAAAGTCATCTCTAAAATTGAAATAGCTTCTTAAAAACTGTTCCACTGTTTCACCGGACTAAAATTTATCCTTAACGTCCCCAAATTGTGATGCAATCAATCCGTACAAGGTCCAAGCAAAAGGGCAAAACCAGTAGTACCATCTCCACCCGATTGGAATCCTCTGTCGTTAGAGAACAATTTCACTACATTAGCCTATACTCTATAGTCTCATACTGTGTTATCAACAAATATGCATAAGGTCCTGACTGCCTAGAGTTGAC